CCCCTCCCCAGCCACACTCCCTCATCTCGCGAGTACCAGGCCCACTTGACTCACTTCATTGTCAGCGCCAAGTCGATACGGCCACCTTCCCTTTCTGCCCCCGTCTCGTCATCCTCTCCCTTTTTTTGTCCCGGTCGCTCCCGATCCGCCGCCGCGCCTCTCCCTCTCGTGTTGCCCTGCGTTCGCTTCTCTCTCTCTCTCTCAATCTCTCTCCCTCCCTCCTGTGTCTCTCACTTTCTCTGTCGCCCTCTCGCGCAAACCCTATGGCCGTGGCGCGGTGCATCGCGCGGCTGTGCGGGATAGCGTCGTCAGTGCGCGCCATGCTGCACTCAAGGCGGCGGGAGGCCCGGGGCGGGGGTGGGGAGGGGGTAGAGACAAACGGGCTCGCGAAGGGGAGCTGAGAACTCTTTTCAGCTCACAAACACCCTGCTGTTGGCGCCATTTGACCTCGCTCTGATGATGGAAGTGGGTGGTGGTGGTGTCGGCGGTGGAGGCGAAGTTTCGGGGGTATTTAGGGGATGAGTGGAGGGAGGTGGGTCCTGTGTGGGACGGGGTGGGCGAAAGGTCTAGAGGGGAAGGGGCTTCCCGCGTCACAGGAAAGGAAAAGGAAGTTGCAACCGGATCACTCCCGATGACTGAATGGCCCAAATTGCCGTCATTACTTAGTCTGGAGGGCTGTGCTGCGTGGCTGGAGCTGGAGCGGGGCTGGATCGAGCGACTGGAGAGGGTGAGCGACCCCCGCGCCCGCGCGCCGGGTGCTTGTCTATGCGCTGCTGCCCAGCAGCCCGCAGCCGCACGATATTTAGCGCCCTGGTGAGGGTGGGCGCGAGAAGGTGGACCTGCGAGCCATAGGTTTATAGCGCGCCCCCGCACCCCGCCCGAGCCGGAGAGCGAAAGTAATTGCCGAGCTGCTGCACTTAGGGAACTCCCCGACCCTAACCCGCTCGGGGGTGCACTTGTCCGGCTGTAGCCTCGGCTGTAGCAGGGCGCGGGGAGGCGCGGCGGCGGGCAGGCGCGGCGGCGGGCAGGCGCGGCGGCGGGGTAGCACGGCAGCCCGGCCCGGCGGGGGGGTGCGCGCTCTAGTGCGCGCGGGTGGTTGTTGGTCGTTCCCCCACCCCCTCTCTCTCTCTCTCTCTCTCCCGCCCCAGGCCACGGTATTCAGTAGCCCGCTGTGAAGCGACAGCCCGCCGAGCGAGGTGCCTGCTAAAGCGATGTGATCTGACGCTTACGCTGTTTTCACGGCCGTTATTCGACAACGACCGACGACGACACGACGGCGGTCTAGTTGCGCGGGGGGTGAAAATGCCTGTAGTATGGGGGCTATGGCCGCCCTCACTAGTGTATGTCTGCCGGCACCGGTGCAGCAGTGCTCGTGGGAGTGGCGAGGGCGGGGGTGTCCCTTCTCTCGCTTCTCTCCCCTTTACGCCAGCCCCCCCCCCCTCCCCTCTCTCTCTCCGCCCTGATGAGCCTGACCGTGCTCAAGAGCCTCGCCGCCCCGCTATTGTTATGTTCCGCCGAGACCTGGGGGGCGCAGCCAGAGGATCCAGAGGATCCAGAGCCACGCTGAGGCCAAGGGGGAATAAAAATAAAAGAGACGGTGAAAAAATATAGAGGGGAAGGGAGAAGAAAGGGGGTGAAACGTAAGAATACAGCCCTGCCACCCTTCGGGCCCGACCCCGTACAACGGATCCTTGCCTTTCGGTTGCATAATTTTTCGCCCCAATTTTTCCACATGCGTTTTCGTTTCCACCTTTCTATTTCCATCCGTATCGCACGCCGCGACTTGGTGAACCGCCCCTCTGCCCGGCAAGGAGGCAAACGAGGACGACCCACGCCCCCCCTGCCGCGCACAATGCTGGAAGAGCGGGGGAGGGGGGAGCGCACAGCACTGCACTGCATCCTCTCCATCACTCCTCCCTCACCTGTCAGGTGGAGGGTGCGGACGAAACAGGCCAAATTGTAGCAGCAATTACTCCTATGCTGAAGCAAGAGGACTTGGGGACGGAGGCGCCACGGAGACTTTTACCCCCCTCCCTCTTCCTCTCATCCCACCCTCTCCCTCTGCCCTGTCGCTCTAACACCCCCTTTCCACGTTTCTGCTACCCCTGCTTCAGCCATTGCCTCTGACCATTTTTTTGTGAGTGTGTGGCCGGTTCTATTGATGCTTAGGCCGGCCGGCACCATCCGGTAGCTCGAAATACTATGTTGTGGTTGCCATAGCTACCGAACCGGGAGGGACATCTTGACAAAGTGTCTATCTTGTTTACCTGCAAACAGTTAACTTTGTTGTGGTTTTCCTTTTTTATGAAGGAAGTGTTTGGTACCCTGACATTTATTGCAAAGATCAGGTGCGTTGATTATATTAATCACACCCTTCAGCTTGATTACTGACTACATTTTAATGAGTCAAAAATAAATTAATAATCACCCCAATGCTATAGCACATGTCTCTTAAAATATTGTTATCATCTTCATTTTTCCCAGCCATGTCAAACTTGTCCCAGACATCAAATGAAGACCCTCCCACTAATTTACCTCCTCCAAATCTTGAAGAATCAATGGATAATGGTCCTGATTCAAACCATTTTCCTGCTCCTCCACAATCAAGTTTCTTAGCCCAGCCCCTTCCTGAAACTATTGCTGAAGTTCCCTCAGAACACAACCAAACAACCCAATCACAACCCAAACAGGCTGAACCATCTGTTATTGGAGCAGCCAGGTGCCCAAATTAATAACCCACATTCTCTCACTTTTAGCATGTTTGAAAGATTGTTCGTCTTATGTTTTTTGGTGTTGAATTTCAGAGATGTTGACGTTACAGGCTTAGGGTCAGGTAGCATTCAGGTTCCAGATAAGGATATTTTTCAAGAACTCTTTAAGACCTTAGATGATGGTCCATCACCTAAGGCAATTGACAAACCATCTAAGAAGTTAGCCAAGACTAAAACAAAAATCAAAAAGAAAGGCAAAGCTAAGAAAAAGGGAAAGAAAAAGGGAAAAAAGAAGAAAAAGGGGAAAAAAAAGAAAAAAGGAAAAAGTATGAAGGCATGCATGTAAATTAAATGGATGTAACCATATTAATGTTAAGTGAGCTTTCTTTTGTTAACTTTTAACAGAAAAAAGGAAGAAACCAAGAAGTCAACTCCATGAACATCGGGGATTGACTTCTGAGATGGCCACTACTCCAGTCGGAAGTGAACATGGAGGAGGGAGTGGCATGAGTTTAGTGCCTGGTGTTATGAGAGTTACTCTGGGTCCAGAAACCCAGCATCATCTGGGCTGTGTAGTAGGAAAGCATGTCACAGCTGAATCACCTTGGGTTTTTGTCAACAAGTCTCTCATTGATGACAATATGGATCTTCATAGCGAAAGCTCTGATTTTTTACCAGTAAAAGAAGATATCACAGTATGTATCTGGTTTCATATCATTGCAGTGAAAAAAATACGATTTAAAAAAAATAAATATGTAAGTTACAATTATTTTACTATGCAGGATTTCAAAACTTCAACTGTCCTCCTCGGGTATGATGTGTCTGCAGATGCTGACAATCAGTTTTACATCTGTGTCACTGAAACAGCACAAAATGCTGTGGTAGAAATTCTTCAGCAGATACAAGAAGACCAGCAGAAATGGCTGAAAAATGCTCTTGAGAAACCAGCAAGAGCTTGGAAATCACTGGGTAGTGACCAGGATGTTGACCTATATACTATTAAACAAAGTCGACCTCTGGTGAGTAATAACTTTTTCTTTTCTGACATTCATTGTGTTCACTTTGCTGCCAACAAAGGATTATATTTTTTAGATGCAAATGCAAGTTGAAACAACAATTGGAGACCTCCGTGCGCCATGTAATTTCAGTATTAGGAATGTGGATGACGTACCAGATGGTTATTTTCACTTTCCACATAGAGACGATCTCCCTGAGCATATAACACGGTTGAGAATTGACAAAGGAGTGCAGGTATTGAGTTTGTCATCAAACTTCTCAATTGTTTAAAAATATGTTTCCTCGTTTGAAAATGTAATTACATATTTGTCTTACTAGATATCTCTAGAAAAAATTGATGTAGAGGCTCAAACTGAACCTGGGATTCCAGACAACTCTTGGACACAGTATGAATATACTGTTGATACTGATAAACCTATAGAAGATGAGGCAGTTGAGCAGGCCTTGGCCAAGTTTATGCAAGGAGTCCAAACTGAGTGAGCTTGATTTCTCTCGCCCCATCAATAGTTTTCATCATTACTGAATTTTCATTAACCTTTTTTACCTGGACAGAATTTGTGATGCTTTGCACTATAATGAGTTAATGGACTTGCACCGAGATGATTACGGGCGCTTAGTTCGATATGAAGAGGATACAGAGACCTCTCAGAGTATCCAGTACAATGAGTTCATGTCATTCACAGATATGAAACATTGTCCAGGGAAAATTGTGTCTTGTGCAGCATTTCATCCAACTTCCTCAGGTTGGTGAAAAATCAAAATGTTTATTTTATCACTAATATCTACAGATTTTTGATCATTGTAAATGGACGTTTCATTTCTATTTTCTAGGAATAGTTGCTTTAGCATATGTTGACCACATCAAATCAGAAATATCTGATGAAGAAGAAAGTCCTGATGAAGTGGCTCAAAATATTTATGCAATGCACCCTGTTCTTATCTGGAGTTTTGTTGATGCTTTTAGACCGAAGGTAACTTTTTCACTTCTTATATCTATCTCATTTCTATACTCATATTTTTTAAATTGTTTTTGACTATTGAATTAAATTTAATTACATTTTTCTGTTAGTTGATCCTTGACTGCCCTCGGAAAGTTCAGGCATTGGCTTACGCCCCTCATAATGGTAATATATTAGTTGCAGGCCTGTCAAATGGACAAATAGCAATTTTTGACCTGACAGGCAAAATTGAAAGGGTTGAACAAGAAACAAAAATGACACCTGATCAAGTGAAGTACCATATGGCAATGGTAATTGGTTCTTGTTTTTATTCATGAAACTCATTCACTTCTCAAATTCATATGTAATATACCTATCAAATGTTATAATTCAAGCTTTAAATTTGGTTCACAGAATAACTTAATGGACTGGATGAAATCAAATAATCGAATAGAATATTTACAGCCAACTGCAGTGTCAGCAATTGATGGTTCCCATGTTGATATAGTTACTCAAGTTATATGGCTGAACCCCTTGTGGGAGGTTTGTGTTGATACAATTAGTTTAATAAATTCAAAATTGTATCTTGCAATTTTTATACCTATTAATCTATTTTTTGTGTTGACAGATAAATTCAACTGGTCAGTTCATAGCATGTGAGGATGGTCGTCAATCTCTACAAGTAGTCTCATCATCTGTAGATGGTAGTGTTTTATTTTGGAATTTAGATCCACATGCTGTTAGTATTCCGGGTATTGTCAGAAAAAGACGCCTATCAAAGAGGCCCACTGGTTTAAAAACAGAAAAATCTCCTTTTTCTAACTTCAACCGGAAATTGAAACCTGTTTTCAGAGTAAGTAAAGAGTAATTTAGCAAAAATTTAAAAATAAGCTGCACACACATTTCATGGTGATTTCTTTCCTTTTCTAACAGCTAGAAATTCAGAGTCCAGATGAAAAAAGACTATACCTGGCAATGTGTATTTCATTTTATACTCAGCCAGTGATTTACGAAGAAGACTTAGAGTTTGCTTCAAAGTTGACTCAGGCCCAAAGAGAAAGCATGACAACTCGGTTCAGATTCAAGCCTGGTAATGTTCAAACCTTCTTTTCCTATTTTGGTGTTATCACGTATTTTGCATAAAATTGTAAACAACTATTACTGAAAAGAAAAAAAAACACAACTGTTTCTTAAGTTTTAATTGATTGTTAAATATTTCCAGTCCATCCACCTCCAGAAATCCATGAGCAAAATAATTCAATGATGATTGGTACTGTCAATGGTAGTATATTAGGCATAGAGTGGGAAGGAACTGAGGACACATTGGCTGATTTCATTCTTGCAAAAAGTACTAATACTTCTAGCTGAGTTATTAATCTTAAAGTTAACACTTTTAGCAGGGTTCATTATTTTTCTAATTTACTTTTTACAGTGTGTTCTAGTATCTCCCTCAATGAATGCCATGCCAGTCCTGTGTTCACTTTAAAGAGAAATCCATTTATTAAAGATTTATATTTAAGTGTTGGTATGAAGAAGTTTGCACTCTGGTCAGAAAAGCTTGGTGTAAGGCATCATTAAAATAATTTTTCATTAATTATCTTTGGATAGTACCTTGACTTTAAAAGATCTTTGAATCCGTCACCAGATGGCTCCTTTTCTTTGGCGCAATGCAGAAGACACATTATACACTGATGGTGCTTGGTCTCTTCAAAGACCAAGTATGTTTCAGATAATTCGGAAAGACGGTACTATTGAAGTATGGGATCTTTTAACTCGAAGTGATTCATGCATCCTCACTCAAAGTATTTCTGGAAAAATATTAACGGGTATGTATATTGTGCATGTGGTTTGCTCCGATATGTGTTTGGACATTATTGAACCTTTCCTCTTTTTTCCCTTAGGAATTGACGCACATTCTCAATATTTGCCCAACAATGTAGTCGGCATTGCTGATTACAATGGGAGTTACCGACTCTTTTTCATTCCATCACAATACCAAGAAAGTGATCTTGGATCTGATGTGAGTTACAGTGCATTTCAGAAAAACTATAGGCAAACACTAAGTAACTTGGTCCAAATATAGGGAAAGAAATATATTGATTTCTAAAATATTTGTGTTCTTACTCACCTTCATGTAGATTCAACAGATGGAGAAATTAATAGAGAGAGAAAAAGATCGCAGAAAATCAATGACCTCTTGGGTAGCTAGATGGCGTGAAAAAAATACAGCTCAAGTGAAAATTTTAAGAGAGCAGAAGGAACTTGAGCACAGAAAAGAAATGGAGCTCCAAGCACGTGAGAGGCAAGTTTTGGAGGAGAAGCAGAAACTGGAAGAAATGGAGTTAGAACAAATACAGGTACCTGTGTATGAGCTCGAATCAATGAAATAGGGCGGCAGTATTTTTAATTTAGAGCAAAACAGCTTTCAGCACATTTGCTAATCATCCTATCTTTTTATGCTTGCCTCAGCAAAGTAGGAAAGTTATTGATCATTTGGTAAGTAAGGCCTAAAACTTATAGGTCCCGTTGACGTTGTGTGATTATTGTTTCTTTAAAATTAGGAACAAGCTATCATGTTTTATTTTATATTTTTTATTTCTATAGCCAATATTTGTCTTTTCCAGAAACAAAGAGATCCTCCGAAACACATTGCTAAAGTAGTGGCTATGGAACAACGTTGGCAAGAAACACGACGCTCGCATATGGTGCGCATGCTGCTTGATAAGAAGAAACTTGAAAAGTCTGAGTTAGAGAGAAAGAGAGGTCCATTTGTTGCTGCTCATGAAGCACATCAATTGAAAACACTAAAACTTAGACAAGTTTTACGTCAGGGCTCAGCAATATTCAGGGAAACAGTTAAAACATTATTTCCTGAAGTTTCAAAAGTGAGAAATAGGTGTTCAGTTAAGTATTTATCTCTGAACCCATCTTGCACTGAGTAAATTTCGTATGAATCAACTTTTAGGTGTCCGTCCAGAAACCAACCAAAGCACAGGCTCTTGCTGCTCAACTTGAAGACATGGATGAAACTTTTGTTGAGCGATATTATGAGATTGAAAAATTAGCGTTAGAGCAGTTACAACCTACTCCATTAGAAAACACATTTAATTGGAAACGCACTGTGCAGGTAAATATGGTTTTCTTACTGTTCATTAACTATATTTCCAGCCCCTTGAGATCTATTTCTTTATGTTTTTGGCATGTCTTTCATGTTGCAGGAGGGTCGATCACGCAGAGAAGTTTTAGATACTAGTATTTTCCATCAGACTGCTCGCATGCAAAGGGCTGAAGAGAGAAGAGAATATCGACGTTTACATCGGAACTCTGAAATGCAGAGGGAAGATGAAAAGAAGAAAGCAAAAACTAGAGCTAAGGTCGGATTTATGAGTTCATCATCACAACTACCTGGTGTTGATAATGCTGGTGGTGATCCAGGGGCAATGGACTCATTGTCAGTGCTGACTTTCCATGGTAATGAAGGAGAGTAGTATGCTAATTGAATCATACTTGTAGCTTATCTTTATTAATTTTAATTGAACAGCAATTGACTTCTAAACTTTGTGGGATGTGACTATTCTGAAATAGTAAAAAAATATTGAATGTGCGTGAGATTATAGCTTTCCAGGCCTTTTTGTACCATATATTTACATAAACAACTTAGTGATGTGCAATCTAGGTAGAGATAATATTTTCTATATCTTTCTATCAATGTTAGAATGTGTGGCAGAAAAACAATTGTGTTATTCTCCTGCTAATCATAGTTGCTGACTCAAACAGCTTGTTTGTAGGGTGATACTGGAGATGATAACAAGATTGATTTGTGGCAGAAATAAATTAATTTATTTAAATTAAAATTTTGGAGGGTTCATAAATATTTGGTCCGGGGTTCACATTGCTCTCCTTCGTTTTGAAGGTCATGTCCGGGGAGTCCAGATTTAGCATTTCTCCACCTGCTTGATGGTGGCAGCGTCGATTCCGTAGGAGGTCAGCTGGTTGGTGAGGGCGGTGTAGGTGTCCTGGCTGAGGGTCACGTCCTGGCGAGTCCAGATCTCGGCGAACAGAGCCCTCTGGAAGTTCTTGACCTCGGCGTTGAAGTAAGTCTTGCAGGACAGGACGAGGGCGTAGCTCTTGTAGTCGGAGGCGATGATGGCCTGCTTGTAGATGTCTGTAGGGAGCAAAAGTAAAGTAAGCATACGATGTCGTAGAAGTTCTCACTGTATTTTGACGGTGTTTGAGGTGTGTGCATAGAGGGAGGTAGCATAGACACTTACCGGTGTACTTGTTGGAGCCCTCAGCGCGGTACACAGAGTACAAGTTGGCAACCTTCTCGCTGATGCTAATTCGTCCCTAAAAATGTGTCACCTGTTCCTGTAGCGGGCGGTCAGCACGGTGTCCTCGATCTTGTCGTCCTTGGCGTAGGCGGGGAAGTTGATCTTGCCGCACTTGCCCTTCTTCTCCAGAGCGAGGTCGTTACCAGCGCTCAGGTACCAGTCACCTTGGAACTGTGGAAACCGAGCAAGATTCGGGTGTAAAACGACATGGGAAAGAGGTCCTTCAGGGTTTCGTGGGTAGGCAACGCACCCGCCCGCAAGACTCGGCTGTCGATGCGTGGCCTACCCTGCCCATGGCACCCACACCCGGTGCCAAGAACAGCGACCGGGTGCGGCTGGCGGCGGCGAGGGACAGTTAGTGAAGTGAAGGCTGACACTCACCTTCTCCATGTCGAAGGGGAATTTGCCGGGCACGGTGGGGCACTTGGGCATGATGAAGTGGGCGCTGGCGCAGGCCACCAGGGCGAACAGGGCGATGTAGCGGAGCATGGTGCTGGTGGTGGTTGTGGGGACTGGGGGGCTGCTGGGGTGCAAGTGATGCTGCTCTGAGGTCCGGAGGCTCTTTTATACCGGCGTCCTAGGCCCCTCGCTTGCCGGCCGGCGACCTGTTCGTGGCCCGCCCCGCCCGCCTCTCCCCGCACCGCCCCGCCCCCCGGCACAGGCTTCACTTACACAGCATCAGCTGATCTCGCGGCGGGCGTGCCGTGGCGGAGACGGCCACAGCCACTCCAGCTCCACCGCGCTGGCGCTAATCATCTTCCTTAGAAGTAGAGTCGATTTCGGCGGAGCGGAGAGCAAAAAAATGTTTTCTAGTTGTGGACTTGCCCTGCGCTTGTGGCCGCGGCGGCCCGTGTCACCTCGCATAGCCGTGGGCAACATTCTGCCGGGCTTCTCACGGCAAACGCCTCAGAGATCCTTCGCTCTCTTCCGGACGACTATCATTTTCTGGCGAATTTTCGGAGCCCGTTGTCACTCTACGCAGTCATAATTGGAGGACATGTGATTCCGGGCACTAATGGCGCGCGTTTGCTTGACGTGACGGGCAATTAAGAATGATATCAAGTCAATACGGTGTGAGATCTTTATGTGTGGAGGCTCGGGTATGTGTGTGTGTGTGTGAGAGAGAGAGAGGTGGGGGGGGGGCAACGTCTTCCTCATCACCCTCCCCTGCACTGTTGCTGGGCGGCGGCGGCACCAAGGGACGGATACGCCTCTTCTTCGTGCCGTCCCTCCCCCTCTTCCCCTCCCCTTTCCCCTCGTCCCCCCTCATTCCCCGTGGCTCTGCGTGAGTGTTTTCGTGTTTTCGCCCCCCCCATCACTTCCCTCCATTTTCAGGTGCTCTTCAGTTTGTATGTGTTCTTTTACGTGTTTTCGGACTTCTTGAAACATTTCGAAAGAAACGGCGTGTCTTGCGGCTCGTTTATTAAGTTGAGGGGGAGTCCTGCGAGTCAAAATGATCAGGTTTCCTCCGCGCAGGCCCTCGGGGAGATAAACGAGTGAAAAGTACAGTGTATTAATGGGTGCGGAACGGCCCGGGTGCAGCGTGCATCATGGTATACGCGGCGACGCCAGATCATGGTACGGCAGACAGTTGCTAGCTGCAGTGCTTGTGGGGGCGTGGGCCCCGGTCGCGAAGAGGCGGGGAGGGGGGCAAGAACAACAAGGGCCCAAAGAGCCCCATAGACTTGGACAAGGTAAGCAGTTGTGCGCATCGACATACTCTGGTCAGCGCCTCCCGCAGGCTCGACAAGAGCGGTCGCCAGGGGAGAGGTAGGCAACGCGCATAACAGCGGTGCCCGCAGGGCTCCGGTATTGCCTATCGGCCCGGCGCTCCTCTGCGACCCGCGGCAGAAATATTCTCGCTCGCTTTGCTTCCGAACTCCACACAACTTTGACACACGTTTTGTGGGACATTATCAGTCTTACCAACTCACATTTAATTTAATTTTTGTTCCACTTTTTATTGTTCCTTTTGGCTTATTTATTTTTTTGTTTCTTGGCGGTTTGATTTTGTACCCTTCGATTTAAATAGGTGCGAAAGAAATCGTCCAGAAAAAGTGCGACTGTTTCCTTAAATTCATACGCCCGGCGCCTGCGAGACTCGGGGTAGGCTACTCCGCAGTACACGCATGCGCTGCACGCAAGATGTTGCCTACCTACAAGGCGCTACGACAGCCCGCATTGGCTAAACTTGACAATTTCTCAACGGCGATTGAGGGAAGTTCTTTTTGGATGATCCGAAAACTATGGGGGAATCGTTGAAAATACTTGAGGCCCCCTTTAAGGCCCAGACTTCCCCAGAAACTTCGATATGGTGACGCAAGCTGGCTTCCTGTGTCATATTGCAGTATATTTTCTCAAAGGTTTTTGCTGCAACGTTTATCGGCTGTAGTCCCCTTGAATTCGACATGTTGGGTGTGCAGGATAGTTCAAAACTGTACAACAATATTTTGATGGTGGAAATAACTTAGATTTATTGTGTTAAATTTCTGATTTGCTAGCAATTGGTCCGGGGTCGTTTGTCTTTGGATAGTACAGCGGTCAGTTTTTAGCACTTCTCAACCTGCTTGATGGATGCCGCGTCGATGCCGTAGGAAGCCAGTTGGGTGGTGAGTGCGTTGTAGGTGTCCTGGCTGAGGGTGACGCCCTCGCGGGTCCAGATCTCGCCAAACACGGCCGCTTCGAACTTCTTGGCCTCAGAGTTGAACGACAGCTTGCAGCCCACGAAGACGGCGAAACTCTTGTAGTCGGAGCTGGCGATGGCCACCTTCATGACGTTGCTGAACTCGCTGGTTCCCTCCTTGCGGTACACACTGTACAGGTTGGCAACCTTGTCGCTGAACATGGGCTGTATGATGACTTCGCTGGCCATGGGAGCACCATCCTTGACACCGCTGTAGCGGGCGGTCAGCACGGTGTCCTCGATCTTGTCGTCCTTGGCGTAGGTGGGGAAGACGAACTTGCCGCACTTGCCCCTCTTCTCCAGCGTCTTTTCGGTGGCGGCGGCCAGGTACCAGTCACCTTGGAACTGCGGACAAAGAGAAATGGTTTAGGAACGCAAGGTGTCACGACACCCGGGTGGCTGCCCAGAGCTGAGCTCCGCCGGACAGGTAGGCAATGCCAAAGCCCTCCGGGCACAGCTGTTGGGCGCGCTGCCTACCACCGCCCTTCTGACGACCGCTCCAGGGCGGGGCTGCGCTGCGGGCCGATATTATGCTCGACGCTTACCTGGTCCATGTCGAAGGGGTACATGCCGATCACCTTCGGGCACTTGGGCATGAGGTGGGCGCTGGCGCCGGCCACCAGCACGAGCAGAGCGATGTAGCGGAGCATGGTGCTGCTGGTTGTTGGGTATTCGGCTGCCGGGGGATGAGTGACGCTACGTGCAGCCCGAACGACTCCTTTTATACCGGCGTTGTCGCTCGGCTCGTGTGCCGTCATGGAGCACTTGACGTTCGGGCAGCAGAGCATCAACAGCAGCGGCCCCCCTCTCCCCTCCACCACCAAGTCCCTCAGAACCTCGCGGCAACAAACAGCTGATCTCACACGCCGCCGAGAGTCTCGGTACAGCTGGGTAATTCTAAGAAGGGGCCGACCAGGGGGCGTCCGTCGTGAGCCTCGGGGTGACCGGCGAGGACGCCTGTAGTGTGGTACCCCTTCGACATGGGCAAAGCAAGCACGCCGGGCACCGGTACTCGCCAGGCGGGAGAGGGTGGCGGGGGCGAGGTAGGCAAAGTACCCAACAGCCGTGCCTGCGAGGCAGGGTGCGCGACAGTTTGTGGTCCTCAGTTCAAAGTTCCTAGGGGGCTGGTACCCGCTTTTGGGAGGAAGGGCAAGTCAGTTTTCCCCAATTGATTTTTTTATTTTTTTAGTTTCCAAAAACTAACTCCATCTCCATACAGGCCCTAGTCGACTTCCGAGGCGCCCCGCGCCCCACCCAGCGGAAACTGGTTACGCTCAGGCCGGGATCCGACCCGACTTACCAGACTCTAGGGCCACTTTATTTGTCTAATTTACAGCATTTGTAATGCCGGTCGGAAATGAGAGTGGTGTCTGCACGACGCAGCATATCGATCGGGATCATGGTGGTTCCACAATTAACGCGCCGGGACTTTTGCCTATAAATACCGGCGCTGTCAGAGTCGACTGACACGGACATGTTTATCCACAAAGTCTGGTGGGCGGCTCGCAGTTCGGCGTGTTATTGTGCTGGACCCAACCGCAAAACGCTCGCAAATCGCATAATAACTACCGGCGAGATTTCGGGAGGGAGATGGGGGGGGGGGCACGTCCATCCATGGGCTCGACTCTGCGGCGCGGCGTGGCGTGCCTAGGCCTAGGTGGAGCTGGACCTTGAACTTGACTCGGCGGTCCCGGGGCCCCGGCCCGGCCCGGCCCCTAGGGGCCTATCCCAACGCCGCGCGTGGGCCGGCCCAATCCCGGCCGACAGATCAGATCGGGACGACGGTCATGGACCGGGAGAGGCTGGTCCTGGTCCCTGTCCAGCCGGCCGCCGGCGCATGGGGAGGGTGCTGCGAAACCGGAGTTCGCACCGCCCAACTCCCGTTCTGCCCTGTTCCTGACGTACTGTACATGGGATGTTTTACGGAGGAACCAGTCGTGCAGGCTGCATGACTGCGTGCGCCACAACGACGAACTGCAGGCAGTCCTGATCTTCAATTGAACTCTCATCTGATCGGGCATATGTGTGTTTTCCACCTTTTTGTGCAACTGATTGAAACTCCAAAACATCCCCCCCCCCAATTAGATAGTAATTCACAACCAAATTCTAGCCCCCAGCCCTCCCCTTTCCCCCGGACTGATTGTCGGCTCCCCCTTCCCCTCACCTCTTTCCGCCTCTCTGCTCACATAGGATGATCTATGCTCGAGGTGGCATGCTGGAGGGCATTCCCCCTGCGCTCCTCCGGCGGGGTAGGGACGGCTCGCTCGAAAATAATCACGTATGCGTGAGCTCTTGGGACAATGGTCGGAGGGAATGTAGCGAACTCCAGCGTTAGAGCGGAACCCCGACGGGCTGAGAGAAAGAGCGCGAAATTAAGAGAAAATAATCGATATTATTGCTTTTAAAGTATAAAAGAAAAACTGGTTTGTGTATACCGACAGCGGCCGAAATTCATCAGTTTACCAGATAGACGCAGGGAAGGGGGCCGTTGACCGTTTGACAGCAGAACGGCTGGAGGCTCGCCTATCGCACGCGGCACGACTATAGCTCGCGAATTTATAAACTGGTCCGCTCCTCAGCCCACTACACACTCTTGTCCCGCCCCGCCCTCCTGTCTTGTCTTCTTTGAGATTCGCATCGTGCGTCCAAGTCTCTCGAGCCGTAAAGGATTTGCTAAATGGGTGACAGGCCAAAACAGATAATACAACATTTCTGATATGACAAAAGGACCTGCTAATTCGTCCCTAAAAATGTGTCACCTGTTCGATCGCCCCTGGCGTATACCAGCAGTGGGCCACTGGGACTGGCTCGACTGGAACTTGTTGTTCTAGTCATAAAAGTCCATTTCGCTCCCTTACGGCGCCGTGTCGTGAACCCCCCCCCCCTCCAACCCATGATCCGCGGAGGGTGGTAAGTCGTGGTCTTCCCATGGAAGAAAACGACAATCAGACCGACAGGAGTAACCCGGCACCACCAAAGGATGGAAGAAAACATTACTTATTTAGGATGTTATTCGAGTGGAGCTAGCACACCTGACCTGGTCCCAGTCCGACCGAGGCACACTCACGGCTCGCAGCTCGCACCACACAAAAGATTGTTCTTTTGGGAGCGTGGGGAACGCCCGGCTGCGCCCGGCCCTGCCTTCAAATAACGCTCGCGAATTTGAGGCGGAGCGATCATTATGGATCATTACTTGACAGACAGTCGTCGGAGGCTCTAGCGCTTCTGGCGCGGGCGGTTCGGAGAACCATGCCCTAGTATAAATGTCTTCGCGGAAAGTCAGGCCTGCGGCTCGAGGCGATCAGCTGATCGACCATTTATTACCTTAACAGAAGTTATCCAGCCCGTGCGTTTTTGTTGTGGTCCTTCTTTGCGGGATTAGCTGGGTCTACAGTGGTCTACAGGGGTCACCTTGCACAAAGCGATCAACAGGGCCGAAGGAAAGAGCCATCCGTCCATCACATATGTGCGCCGCCTGACTGCTGAGTTCATCAATCAAATAACAAATAACTTTCCGCGGACGTGCGTGTGTGTGTGTGTGTGAGGGGGGGGGGGGGGTCGAACAAGCTCTACTCATTTGCTATATCCAGTTAAGAATTTTGTCGTTTCCACGCTCAGCGTGCGCTCACGCTGGCGCGAGCGCGGAGGGCGAGAGGGGAGGCGGGGGGCGAAGCGGGGTCAGCAGTTCTTCCACCGCTGCCTCCCCGCACCCTGCCCCTCGCCCGCCTCACGCCGGCGTGAGCGCGCGCTGCGCTAAGCGTGGATACGACCAATTCTTAACTGGATATAACAATTGTGTCTATCCTTTACCACCCAAACCAAAACCTCCAACCATTTAGACGATGACCCACCCCACCTAGTAATCTCTATAGATAGAACGAAAACACACGTATGTCTTCTCAAAATTGTCTACATACTTTATCGTTTTCTTTTTTGACTGTGTTAGTATTTCCGTCATTGTACTGACATGGAGTAGTTGAAGCAGTTGAAGTGTTTCAGTTACGTTTGTTACCCCACCTGATTTTCTTCAAAGTGTTCAGTCAGTGTGTAACGGTCTACCCACGTACGACGTTCGTCTAAAAACGCAAGTGTATTGGAGAGACAAGATGTCTCAACAACTGCATGGTGAGTGAGCTGCATTCATAGAAAGCCGACTAAAAGTTAGTTACGGGCAAGTGACTTCATTCATTTACCCCCCCCCCCTATGACACATTTAGGTGTAGACGGTGTAGACTTAGACGAAGGCCAATCTAGGTTGAGATTGAGACAAAACCTGCTCGATCACGCCGAAGAAGTCAAAGACACCGACGAAGTCGAATTTTACTTTACGAAGTTGTCGTGTTTCGACCGCCATTCTGCTAATGGAGTCCAGGAGGATGAATCCGGCGATGAGCCAGATGAACTATCTGGGAGACATCCACGAGGTTCAAGACGTTTTATGTATGCTGTGATCGCTGTAATGCTGATCTTACTCCTGGTGTTGGTGTGCGCGCGCGCGGTGCTGCATATTTGGTGTTGCGCTTTGGTACTTTTGTTTCTTTGTCCGTTGCCATACATGCTGAGATATTTATTGGTTTACATATTTTCTAATCGTGCTTATTTGATGGGTGACAGGTAATAGATTACGGGGGTTATTCAGGCAACTTGTATGGCGAAAATGAAGAACCAGTCAGAGTGTCCGTTACGTTTTTGGGGTTAGAAATACTTTCTGGAGAGAACCAGTCAGAGTGTCTGAGATAGGAAGTTAGCCCAAGCTGACCGCTGCTATCGTTTACGTTATCGTAGACAAGAGTTTTAAAAAAGCTTGTGTTCCTTGTGTTTTAGAGTAAGATAAAACTTTGAGATGTTCACGCATGGCGTTACGCCTCATAAATTTGATTATTAAAGAAAAATTTTTTCGTCAAAAGATATTTTGTCTCTTTAGCTTTGCTATTTGAAAATTCCGCCAACGGCAAGTGTTCTACAAGGCAGTGCTTGATCTGCGTTAACACGTAAACAAGATTATACGCAGTAGCCTAGCCTTATTTGCACCACGTGTCGGTCTCGCGTTCTTCTTCTTTTCTTTCCCCCGCACTGCCCCGCACATGTCGTAGTCGCCGCATGGTGTTTAGGTTAACCGTGAAGGATTAATTTTACTTGATTTCCTACACACAAGTTATTTACGCCCTCACTGCAAGATGAAGTCAGTTGCTCAGCCGAAAAAGATGAAAACTGCCATTGGCAAGGTTTCGAAGAACAAAGTGTTGAAGAAGAAAGAGAAAGGTTAGTAATGTCTATTTATCTGTTGTGGGTCTTTCTGTTTAGTCTCCTCCAAATTGTTGTTTCTACTGTCTTGTCTTGGGCGCACTGCCGTTAAGTTCTGAATTTGAACTTCATTATCTTCACGCTTTCTCTTCCAGATCCATCAATCAAAAAGAAAGCGGCAGTTCTAGAACTGGCCTGTGAATCCTTAAGTTCTCCTGACAAGAAGAAGGTTTCAAAATCTTTAAAGAAGTCCAAACTTGTGAGTTCGGAGCCTAGTTCATTTCAAAAACCAATCAAATCCAAGAAAGCTGATGTGGCCTTCACCTCTAAACTGGAGAAGCCTTTAGTTGGTCCAACTCAATCTCCCAAAGGTAAACGGAAGGTGAAGCAAGAAGAAAATGTTGTTGAAAGTGGAACTCTTGAGACACCCCTTAAGAAAAGGGTTAAGAAATCAGAAGTGCCTAAAAAGTTGAAGAAATCTAAGTCATCAAAAGTTGTGAAAACAGTAGTATCAAAAGTACATGATGAAATCGATCTCAGCTGCAGTCTAAACAGGAATTTGGTAAGCAGTTGTGTAAAATTCGCATGCATCCAACTAGTTTTAATTCTCTTGTCCTCTCCTAACTGCTGTCATCTGATTATAACGTATGAGTTGTCCTGTCAGTAATAGTGCTGTTGATTTTTGTTGTAGCTTGAAGGAGTTGTCTCAGGTACATTGAAACTTGTACATCAGAAACAAGAGACTGAGGAAAAAAAGGATCTTTTTGGCTCTCAGCCACAACCAATCAACTTGCAAATCAATGTTCACAAAATACCTGTAACTCCTTTCAGGATTGTTCGATGGTAAAGACTCCCTTTTTTGTAAATAATGGTATATTTATTTGTACTTCAGTTATTACTTCACTGCTCCCTTAATTTGTTCACAGTGTTGTCCCTAATTCTATCTGCGTTTCGGAGCCTGATGTTTGTCTAATTGTACCCGACTTCCAAAGAGGACGTAAGAGAGACACCACGTTTGCCAAACATGCTGAACAGTATGAAGAAAAACTGATGGAGTCTGGTACCAAAGGTATCAAACAGGTATGTGCATGAAATATTTAGATTTTGTTGAAAGCACTTGAATATTTTGTTACTATCTAGCTTTGCTATTGTCTAGGTTATACCTTTTACTCAGTTGAGGTATGAGTACAAACAATTTGAATTAAAGAGAAGATTAGCAAGTATGTTTGATGTGTTTCTCTGTGATGGTCGAATTCAAGGACATTGTTATCATTTTCTTGGTAAAGCATTTGAAAAGGCAAAGAAGTAAGTCCAATTTGAGTTTTCAAATAATTGCTGCTGTACATTCTACTGATAGTTCTTTAAAGCATGTCCTTTCTTACAGGACTCCTGTTCCTATTCATGCTATGACGAAAGTCAATGGCAAACTATCATTCCAGCCGGATCTTCAGAGTGAAGTAGACAGAGCACTTCGCAAAGTATCTCTTACTTTACACTCTCATGGATCCTCATACTCTATCCAAGTTGGCCATTCTGGATTTACACAGAAGCAGCTTGCAGACAATATTCAAGCAGTTTGGAAGGTCTTAGAAAAGGAGTTACCTGGTGGAGTACAAAATATTCGAGCTGCATATTTGAAAGGTCCAAGAACATCAGCAGTTCCTCTTTACGCTTCTCTTGGTGTGTTAAGTTTTTCTTATTTATTCTATTTGACCACTGCTAGATAAATCCACTTATGAGAGCTTTATATCTGATTTTCTACAGCTCCTCCAACAAGTGTCCCTTATGTAAAGTCAAAAACTAGTGCAGAACCAGTTGAAGATGAGCTCAGTACTATGCCTGGATGCAGAGTTACTGTTTACCCAACTGGTCAAGTTAAGATCAAGAGTGTGAAGACAGACGAGGACCGTGAGTTCATGAAATTAAACCCCCGAATGGTAAGTGCCAAAATCCTGTTCATTGTTTTTGCCTTGTAATATGCTTTCCTTGCTTGAACCCATGGAAATGTGTCTACATGAACATACTGTTTTGCAGGACTTTGATGATAAAAAGAAAAAGAAGGGTAAAAATAAGAAACGTAGTGACAGTCGCACTAAGCATGTGAAGACTCAAAATATTTCTAGTGATGGTTCAGATTCTCTTAAAGAGGATGTCAAAGTGAAGGAGGAGGTTGACGAATCTGGCGATGACAGTGGAAGTGAGAACGAATTCAAGGATGTAGAAGCTGCAGAGGCTGCCTACTTGACTCAGTGGAGTGAGTCTGCCTCTATGAAAGAACTGGAAGACGAGGAGGTGTGTTTTCGTTTTAGTTCATTAAATACCTTAATTATTGTACATTTTTGTTTCAACCTTACTAATAATCTTTGGTTCTTCAGACTAAAAACAAGAACCAACCCAAGAAAAAAAGGAAGAGAGTTGCAGCTAAAGTTGCAGCTAAAACTGTAAGCATTATTTTTATGGAATATATTCTAAAAGATTTAAAAGAATTCAAATGTCTTCATTTTATGTTACTTTTTGTAATCTTGTTTCTTTTTATTTTATAGGAAGGGAAGAAAATTGCTGGAATGAAAGGGGTTTCACAGAAGCTGTCAAAAGGTGCTCAACAGAAAGGAAAGAAGGCCAAGTCGAAGATAAACACCGATGTATCAAAAACCAAGTCAAAGAAGAAAAGGGCTTAAAACTTGTCTAATTTGTTAAAGTTCAAGGAAGTGTTATTATTTGCAGTTTACATTATGTTTTTTAACATAGGGAAATGTCTCAACATGAATTCTATCCCTCCTCAGTATTTTGGCTGATTGGGTTGTGCAATACATCTGATGTTAGGATGTATATTTTGGAATGACGATTAAAATATTAAATATTTTTAATTAAATTTTATTTGACACAACACTCATACAAGATAATACTGACTAGAACTGCATCCAAGCAACATGCTTAATTAGTTATTTTTTACTGTATTTAGGAACAGTGTTTTTATTAAGTATTTAGTACTTCCACTCAACTCCACCTTTGGCAGCAAATTCTCTAACATGCCATAACTGTGTTGTAAAATGACTATCTTTGACTCTTGTTTTTCAAGCAACAGCAGTTAAAATCACTCTTTGAGCATGCAGTTTGGTCTAACATCACAAGACACAACCTCAGTCCCATGTTGGACGGATAAGTAACCTACTGACTAGAACATGGACGGATAGATAAGGGGTCTTTGTTTATAAAGACTAAGCACTCCACACATTTTAAATATTGATAAAATAATAAAGACCTAGAGAGTCTAGAAGTTCTACCACAAAATGATATATTTTATTACTCAGTAAATCTACAGTAATTTTTAGGAATTGAATAGCACGAACCAAACCAGCAGTACACACCACCTTCCTTGGCAACTTAATCATTTATTTATGCAGTCTGTCTTAGCTACCCAGCACAATTTCAATAACTTTCTGACTTTCCATGCACACTTATGCTCAGCGATCCTCTGAGCATTTTTATAAGTGCAAGTCCATTTACGTTGGTGCCTGGAATTCACTAAATATCACTAACTTTATGATTTGAACTTGACGAACAACATCATTTATTTAATTTATCACTCTCCTATACATGAAAGAATTTCATATAGTGCATGGATAAATCACGTTTTGCCACCTGGGGTGTGATAATTACTATACTAAATGAAGGGACGGAAGAACAACCGAATGATATTGATATACAGGGGCCTGCTGTCATAATTTAGTAGCAGGTCACAGGTGCCTCGGGGCGCATGAGCCATGTCAGGCCAGCAGACCTCTTAGAGAGAGTTCAGAAGGAAGTCCAGCTGGTCCAGCTGACTGATGTCCCAGCCTCCTGGTATAAGGAGGCTGCAGAGGTCGTCATCGTCCTGGACGGGCAGCAGCGGGTCCGGCGCGAGGGGGTCGAGGCCCGCGTACTGGGCCGGGGTGGCCGTGGCCGAGACCGTAGGCGACGGCGGCGGGCCTGGAAGTGCGGCGGACAGCTCGGCCGACAGTGGCATCGCGCAGGGCAGAGGGCTTCCCCCCGGACTGTCCCCGCCGAGCTCGACCAGCTCGAAGCAGGAGCCGGACTCGGAGCTGGGGCAGGGGCTGGCCTCCAACTCGAGGAGGAAGACGGAGCTGGGGACTTCCAGGCTGGGCGGTGGCGTGGGGGTGGGTGTGGGCTCTGGAGTTGTCTCTGCCACGGCAGACCTGCGGATAGAGAGGAGACTCAAGTTGGGCTCTCTGGAGGACTCTCTCTGGGGGCCTCTTGACTGAGACTTACTTTGCTGGGCGTGCGCTCCGCCGCCGACCCCGGCGCGCGCGCCTGCCCTCCGCCAGTCGCTGAGTGTCCAGCCGCCAAAAGCCGCCCTTGCCGGGCTCGTCCTTGGACCGGGGGACCTTCACGAAGCACTTATTGAGGGACAGGTTGTGCCTGATGGAATTCTGCGGCACACAAACAATCGCAACTGTGAGGTAGGTTCTGCATTCACTTATTAAGCCAGGTGACCGGCCCCCGTCCAAATTTCTAGTTGGACTGTACCGCTACCGCAAGCACGAGTTTTTCGAACGTCTCATCCCTGAACCTCTGAACGTGGCGCCTAACTGTCCGGGGGTAGGCAACCCGCCCGCACGCGTACATTGTGGCCCAGTCTAAGGAATCGTCCAGAAAGTACGTCCGCCATTCGTGGTTTCGAATTTGCGAACTTCAGCCTGTGCAAGGTGCCACAACGCCTGATAGGTAGGCAGCATCATGTCTGCAGTGCATGCGTGTGCTGCGGGATGGCCTACCCTGAGTCTTGCAGGCGCCGAGCCGAGCTCAGGCAATTTCCCGAAAGAACCTGAGAGAAGGGGACGCACTTTCTGGACGATCCCTAACTACGGAAGTGCCCCCTCTCCCCTCACCTGCCAGGATGGGTCTGCGTTGCGGTAGTACATAAAGTTGTCCTTGATCCAGCTGTAGATGTCGGAGAGCGTCATCTTGGTGCGGTGCGAGCGCAGCGCCATGCATATGAGTGCTGCGTACGAGAAGGGAGGCTTGTGGCTGCCGTCGTAGCGGTAGCGCTCCAGGTGCTCGGGGGACACGGAGGGCAGCAGCGACTCTGCAGCACAAACAGCACAAGCACGAAAGGTAAGTATCCGGCTTTGGCTTTTGAAAACTGTCGACATCGGAATAATGACATGTAGCCTGCCGCACTCACTCAGCGGGTCTGGCCTCTCTGGCGCCGAGGGCGAACTCTCCATTTCCGGCTCCCCCGCAGTCGGCGACGACGGCGGCGTGGGCAGCGGTAGGATGTTGATGGAGTGCAGCCAGTGCAGGCTGGTCAGGTCATCCGCCCCCTGGGAAAAGAAACATGGACGTTAGATCACTGTTGCCCCGGGCTGAATCTGGCGGTAATCTACAAACATACCTTGGCGTCGGGCAGCGTCACCTTGCAGTAGCCGGGGGACTGCGACCTCTGCAGCGGGGCCTGCAGCGCCGGCCGCGGGCGCGCCGAGCACAACATGTCGCGGCTCGGCCTAGCGCGGCTCCTGCAACACGAGTCCTGATTTCACACGCCGGCCCCGATTCCGAGGAGAGCCCCGTCGTACCGGGACGGAGAGCCGGCGGATATGACTCATTTATGAGTCCGATGGGGCTGGGCCTCGGGCAGGGCCGGCCTCGGCCTCGCCGCCGCCTTGGCGTGCGGGGCTGGCCGGGGCCGGGAGCTGGCCGACGCCACCAGCGGCCAGCGCCACGGCGGCCAGCCGCGCGTCCGCGCCGGTCGATAGCCTCGATGCTCTCGCAACTTCTCTGCGTCTCTCTGTACACCTGTCGGCCGGAGGGCGGTGTGGCGACCAGAAAGGGGGGGGGGGGTCGAGGGAGGCTGAACCTCACGAGGACAGCAGGCGCAAGCGCGAGGGGGCCCAGCACAGAGCGACGGGGCCCAACCAACCTGCTCCACCACTGTCCCCGCGGCCAGCTACCCCTTCCGGGCCGACGGCGCCACGGAGCGCTGTCCGCCCTGTCCCCCGTCCCCGCGGTCATGCCCGGATAGGCGGCTGGTCGGGCGCTCAGGCGGAGGGGAGGTCGATAGTGAAGACACTCTCGGCCCGCAGCGCCGCGGACCTGTTCGGGAGCCCAGCCCCCGAGGCCCCTCCAGCGCCGCCTCCAGTGTGCCGCCTCCAGCAGCGCGTGGGCCGCGCGGGGGCTGGGGGGCGGGCAGCGGTAGCCCGTCGCTGGCCATGCCCGTATCGACCAGCCCCCTGGCCAGGCCGGGCAGGGCCGTGTGCTGGCCCCCGCCCCGCCGGCCCGCCCCGCCAGCGCGGCGTCATCGTCCCCCGGCCGCGCTAGGCCATCGGCGGCCGCGGGACAAAGGGAGTGCATCGCGAGGGGTCGGCGGCGGTCCACGCTAGCGCCCCAGCCGAGCGATCTAGGAGATAGTTTAAGAGAGGCTCTCTTATACCTCCTGTATAGCTCCGTCCTTGTTGCACTCATAGGGCAGGTATTGGAGTGCCCCTTTTGAACGGTCCCCCGAATTGCACGGCAGCGGCGTAGGAAAGGAGGCGTCCAATCTCCCGACTGGCTGGGAGTAGCCCACGGACCCAATGACGTCATCTGGACGGACAGCAGCAGCGATGGGGGTTGACCCTTTGCACTCCCCCGCCGCCCCCGCCAGCACCACCCCATCAAACACGCGTGTACCGCGGCGGCGGCAGGTTGCACCACCGCACCACTATCATTATCGCCGCCACCCGGCCGACTGATTCAGAAGATCGTTCAAGAGGGCCTCTCCTATACCTACCCCCCCATGAGTGCAACAAGGACGGGGCTACACGGGAGGTATAGGAGAGCCCCTCTTGAACGATCTTCTGAATCAGTCGGCTGGTGTCCGCGCGTCCGCGTGTCTCGTGTCCACCTGCAGCCCCAGCACTACCCGATCAAACACGCGTGTACCGAGGCGGCGGCAGGGGCAGGTTGCACCACCGCGCCGCTATCATTACCGCCGCCACCCTGGTGTCGCGCGTCCGCGTGTCTCGTGTCCACCTGCAGCCCCCACCTCCACCCCGCCCCCTCCGGGTGGAGAGCTGCGTGACCAGGCGCCGCCGCCGCAACCGACCCGCTCCGGACACCCGGACGGACAGGCACAGGAGGAGGCGCTCCCGCAGGACCTCCGCCCCCGGCCTGCTCGCCCGGCAGCGGGAAACTGAACGCGGGAGGCTGTCTTCTTCCCTTTTGTTTCCCGTCACGCACTCGCATTATTGAGGCTATTTGCGAATGAAGGGGGTGCGGATGGGTTGAGGGGGTGGGGGAGGAGGCGGAGAAGCGTCCATGCCGCGGCCGTTCCCTGATAAATCGAGGCGATTGCGCAAAATTGCGCCGCAGCGCTGACTATATGGCCTCATTGAATTATTCATGGGCGAGCAGGTCTGGGACACGGCTGCTTCCCGAAACTAATTTGACACTGCATTATAGAATTCCGGCGCCTCGAATAGATAACATATCGGTCTCGCGGCCCCCAGGGGTGAAATGTCAATGTCAACGCAATGGAGGTTTGATCGGGTTTGATCGAAAACGACATTGATTTGAAGCGCGCCAGGCAGATCTCTCTTTGTTTTCTACTCCGGACTGCTGCTTCACCACAATTATCGAAAATATATCCTTGTGAACATGAATCGAAACCATAATAAATATCGGTCGGCCCTGTTCGCCACGAGTTGTATCTCAGCGTCAAGGACATGAGAAATCGCTGAAATGTCACATTCGCTCCCTTGCGTTTGCGAGTTCAGCAGCCGTATGGCATCTTTATACTGGACCGCATGCAGGCGTGCAGGTTTGCCCACCGTCGCTCACCGTGGCACCTAATGGCGCCGAACGAATAGGCAACCCACCCACACGCCTAAATGCGGTACTCACTAAACATCTAGGGACAATTTTTGTATGTTGACTAGATGTGCCCTTGTACCCATCTAAATCAGATACAAATTTGTATCTACATCTACGTTACATAAAAAAGCAGTTGTACCTAGCTTAGGTACAACTTGTACCTAGCTTAGGCACAACTTGTACCTCCGTACTCCGTACAGACAAATTTGTATCCGATGAAGATGTGCGCAAGGACACACAACACAGCTAACCAAGTTACAAAAATGGTCTCTCTCCATTTAGAATGTACAGCCGGACAGCATTAATAAAAACAAGAAAAAATGGGACACCCCATATGTAACTCAATTCAATAATGCGAACTTTGATGCAAACAACAACATGTTTTCACGTGTTTTCTTTTCTTTGCCGTACAAGATGGCTGAGAAAACTCGTCGTAGTTGTATTTATACTGCAACGCATGCTCTCCAAATGGGAAAAGACAGTTTTGTATCCAGTGAGGATGTGTTCTTAAGCACATCTCAATCGGATGCAAATGTGTTTGTGAACTAGAAATGTTATTTGTACCTGAGGCTAGGTACATGTTACTTTTCAGGTACAAAATTTGCACGAGATGTGCTCAAAAACACGTCTTCGCTGGATACAAAATTATATCTTCCTAATTATGGTTGAGACGAAAAGGCAAACCGACTGCATCACGATGACAATATCCACCGGGGTTTTCCAGGCACAAAAAAAAAATTGTTCAAGCGTGAATGAGTAATCACTTTGAAGTAGCTCTCTTTATCTCCCCCCAAAATTATGGAAAAATTGGCATTTGAAGTGAGTCGCGTTGAAAGTGTTCGGGGCGGAATGTGGCTCAAGTGTTAACATCCTCATCCGTCTCATCCGAGGTCTCATCCAGAACATGTCTTTTAACAATTATAATTTTTTGTCACCAAGGACCCTGTTGTCAAAATATTTTTTTCCCTCTATGAAACTCAAGTCAAGAGCTTTGAATGAAAGGAGCCGTTTTCTAGGGGCAAGATATTAATTTACCGAATTTTTCTGGATGAGGTAATAAACGAGGTTGTTTACTCTTCGGTATGTGGAAGTTGAAAACTCCAACTAAACTGCCGATGACAAAGAGGCCACTTACTGGCATGCTGAGCTCGGCGGGGTGTCGCTGGGCTCTCAGCGCTTGCGTGGGAAGTGCCTATCGACGCTGCCGCCGCGCTACGCCGCCATGCTCTGGGTGCTGCTGCTGCAGCAGGGTACCCGGCCGCCCGCCGCGAAAGCTGCGCCTAGCCTGCGGACGCCTGCGGACCGCGGGGCTGGCTCGCTGGCCGCTCACTGACCAGCCAGGCCAGCAAGCCACCTGCCCGGACCTGGACGGCCAACGCCGACGCGCGGACCGACCCGTGGCCGCGGCGGCAGCAAGGTGCGGCGGCGGGCGGCCGCGGCGACCACCCCCACCCCGCCGCAACCCCCGGGCAGGCAGGTGGACTCACCCTCTCCCGCGGGCCGGCTCCCACACTTCCTGGCCACTCACGGCGGGGGCGGCACCGCGAGCGGAGAGGTCCGCCGCGCGGCCGCGGGACGGGATCGATCGGCTGGCGGTGGACGGGGACCCCGCTGGAAGTGTTATTGCCGGCATCGACCCCCGCACTCTGCACCGCGCAGCAGGACCCTCCCCGATGAGGGGGCCGCCCGCGCTAGCCCAGCCTGAAGGTCCTAGAGGACGCCCGGAGGGAGGGGGCGCCGCCTGCCTGGCCCGGGCGGAGCGGCAGTGCAGTGACCGGCGGCCAGGACGGCCAGGACGGCCCGCAGCCCGCCGATGGGGATCGATCCACGCGGCCGAGGAGCTCCCCACCCTCTAGCCGGGGCCCGGGGGCCGGGGCTCCCTCCACCGGCGACCTCTGACCCCGCCGTCCAGTTCCCCCTCCCGCCCCCACCCCCTCCCTGCGCCCTGCCGCGAGGCATTAATGAGTTACGTCAGCAATTATCCGCGCCGACCAACTGTCTGCCGCGGTGACACGCGGAGCGGGCGCGTGGGGGTGGCTGGGCCGCGCTGTCCCCGCGCCCGCCCCGCCCCGCCCCGCCCCGCCCGTCACGCCTGCCCGAACACCCGCCAGATGGCGCGGCGTGGCTGGCGTGGCCGATCACTGCGCGGCTCCACCTGCGACCAGCTCCATTCATACTTACATACATTTCACTCATTGATTACAAGTGTACTACGTTCCACGGCTTTACTCTCTTGCAATCGCCTGTGGCTTGCATAGCTCTCCTTTCAACTCTGCCCTAAACCCTTTTCACTAATATTCGTTCTCCTCCGATCGACGTATAAGGACGTACAAGCAGGGCCGTAGGCTACTCCTTCACATGTTTATTTTCGACGAAGGTTTGCCGGGGGTGGCGGCGGGGAGGGGGGGGGGGTGCGACGGGGAGTCTTACACGGTCTCGGCGCCCACTCCACCCCCACCCCTTCTCTCGCCCTGGTTCTCATTACGTAGGCAGCGTCTCCATCCCCGCCCCCTCCCACCCCGAAACCCCGTAGTGCCGCTGAGGGGAATAAATGCGGGGGAGATGACTTGTTTGTCCCGGCCCTGCCCGACCGCGCCGAACATCAAGGCGTGGCGTGGCGTGGCAAAGACTTGAGGAGAGGAAAAGCCGGCATCCTAAATTGGTCACAAGGCCCTGGCCCTTGGGTGTTTGCAATAACTGTGGGAGGCTGCTGCGGCCCTCGAGGCGCAAAGCGCTGAAGCTCGGCGACCAGTGCATAAAAACAGCTCTGCGCTCAGCTGCCGCTCGCCGCTCGCGTCCTTCCTACCCCCCCCCCCACTCACCCCCCGTCACCACTCAGCTTATTGCCACCCAGATAGGCTGCACATTCCATCACGTCGAGGCCTCAGCTGGAGACTGGGGGATGGGGTGGACCCCCACAAGGGAAGTGCACCCCCTCCATCCCCCTCCCCCTGGTCCAGGGCCAGGCCAGGGGCGCGTGTGCAGTCCCGCTGCTGATAAGCGGATCAGCGCCGCGTTTTCTCTGTCGCACACTGGTTCCGTCTGGGTTGGGTTTAATTTTTGGTCCCCTCCGTCGCGCCCTGTGGGTGGAGGCCGCGGAGGCGCGGGAGGCCGTGCAACCAGTGGTCGGTGGCGGCGGCGGCGGGGTGGGGTCGGGGAGGAAGGGGGATGCTGGGGTGGACCACCCGGCCCGGCGCGGCCGTCCTCCCGGCCGCACTCCCTAGTCGAACGCTCCCCCTGGCGGACATGGCGCCCGGCGCGCGCCCCGCACCACGTACCCGACATCACCGCCGCCACGCCACGAGGACGACGACATGATGCTGCTGCTGCTGCTGCTGCTGTTGGTGGCGTCGCCGGCCGCCCTGCTCGGAGCGCTGCTGGACCACGGGCTGGAGGCGGAGATATCCTCGTCGGTCGACATGGCGGATCGCTGCAAACCGGTGGCTGACGGCGTCCTCCTAGGTGCGCACCACCACCACCCGCACGGGACCAGTGCATCTTTAACCTTCCTTGTGACGCGGCTGAGCTGGATTTTTGTTTCGCTGCCGCAGAGGGGGAGCCGGTGACGCTGGGCTTCCTGGGCGCGTACGGCCAGACGCAGGTGGTGCTCGGGGCGCTGAGCCGGTGACGCTGGGCTTCCTGGGCGCGTACGGCCAGACGCAGGTGGTGCTCGGGGCCCTGCCGCTGGCCGTGCGGACCGTCAACATGGACCCGCACATCCTGCCCGGGCGCCAGCTGCAGTACCTGGCCGCCGACATCGGCACCAACAGCCCGGCCGACGCGGGGCTGCGGCGCCGCGACTCGTCGCTGGCCGCGCTCGCGCTACGCGTCATGACCGTCATGCGGGACCGCGGCGCCGTGGCCTTCATCGGCCCGGACGACACCTGCGGCCCCGAGGCGCTCGTGGCCGCCGCCTGGAACCTGCCCGTCATCTCCTACGTGAGTGCCGCCTGCCGTGCCGACTACTTGTAGCGTCTAGCATCGTGTCGCAAACACAATCCAGGAAGTCTGTTTTTTATTTTGTTTATTTGCGTCGTTTTTATATTAGGCTGGTCCTATTTAGAGTCAAGGGGGTTGTAGCCATTGTGAAGGGGAAAGCGCCCGCCCGCGCACCGGCGGGAGGGGAGGTGAGGTACATTGACCCTACGCGGACCCCGATCCCCCGGACCCAACGACCCTCCGGCACTTCCCTTTCGTAACTTACATATATCAACCCCGCGTCAAGGGCAAACAACCCTCCGGGGCTTTCGCCGCGGCTTGTGCTTGCCGCTTCCCGGAAGTCGCCGACGCTGGCCGCCGGGCGCTACTTCTTATACTAGTGGGGGCTGTGAAGAGGGAGGGTGAGGAGGACAACGGGTA